AGAGTCCCCGGGACTGCAAGGAGAACAAACCTATCAATTCTGCAGGAAATCAACCCTGAGTGCTCACTGGAAGGACAGATCCTGAAGCTGAGGCTCCAATACTTTGGCCATTTGATGAGAAGAGAAGACTCCTTGGAAAAGACCTTAATGTTAGGAAAGTGTGACGGCAAGAGGAGAAGGGGACGACCGAGGATGAGATGGCTGGACAGTGTCTGCGAAGCAACCAACTTGAAATTGACAGACCTCCGGGAGGCAGTGGAAGATAGGAGGGCCTGGCGTGCTCTGGTCCATGGGGTCACGAAGAGTCGGACATGAATAAACGACTAAACAACAACAACAATAACAACATGTCTTCACACAAGGGCCTTGAATGGGGCTGGCTCTAGCTCATGTGTTTAAGGTTGCAGCATCATGTGTGCATATTCAGAAATGAGACGCACTGAGTTAATTGGATTTAGTCCCAAATAAATATACATTTGGTTAGAGCTTTTAGCAGTGGCTGCAGTTATACGAACAGGAAGGGTGTCATCCCACAGTGTGTTTGTAAGCACCCCCTACTATCATCAGAGACCACTTTTATTGCAAAATATCAGATCATCAATACATATGGACTGGAATTAATTATTTCTTATCATTATTGCCTGTCATGTTTATAATTTTTCTATGGTACTTGCATCTCTCTCTCTCCCTCTTGGCCTCTCTGTTCCCTCTCTATTTGACTAATGCCGGAAGCTTTGTGATATATATATATATTTTTTAAATGCAACAACATATTTGTGGCTGCCTTCTGTATTAATGCATATTGAACTAGTAAATGGAGATGTCTGCCCCAAAGCTGTTAAATGATCAACATTTTAGTAGTAATATTATTATAGCTTTCAGGCAAGTTGGTGTCAGCTGAATGGATTGCAGCAACGATTACAAAGAGGCGTAGGTGAAGGCATGGGCTTTTCCCAAGAAACACATTATGTGTGTTCCAAAAAATATTCACAAAATAGGTATTAAGGGTATTAAAGGCACAAAGTATGTTTGAATACGATGGCTAGTGCTTGCTCCATTTCAAAAGTAATTTTTTTAAAAATCAATTCAATAGTTAGTAAAGAAGGGGGAAAGTATGTGGCTAACTTGGGGGGGGGGAGGATGAAATGTTTGCTGGACTGGTGGAAAAGGTTCCACAGAAGGATCATAATTATACTAAGAGTTTGGAAAAGTTGCTTTTTCAGAATTTCCCAGGGCCGTGTAGCACCATGGACACTGGACATGATGGAGATTCTAGGAGTTGCAATGTGAAAATGAACTTTTCCAAGTTGTGGTTGTATCCACAAGTAAACAGAGATTACAAATCCCAGAATTTCCGTCCACATGGCTGGCAAATTCTGAAGGTTGTGATCCAAAACAAACTACAACCATTTTTCAAGCTCTGCCCCAAAGATACTGTTCTCAGAAAATAATATATTAGGACAGTGATCTTAGCCTAGTAGTAGGATAGCATGTACTTTTGTATGTTGAAGACTCCCTAGTCCAGCGATGGCGAACCTATGGCACATGTGCCACAGCTGGCACACAGAGCCCTCTCTGTGGGCATGCAAGCCATAAGTCATCATTGAGAAATACTTACCCATCCTCTGATCCTGCATTTTGGCACTCCCCTCTGCTGGTGCAGTGGTCCAGTGGAGGGGTGCAATGGCGATCATTACCAGTCTAGCCTAATGGGTGATTGGAGGAGTAGGAAGCATTTCTTTGTTAATACCCCCCATGGGGGGGGGGGGAGAAAGCATTTAACCTTTGCAGTGCAAGAGCAGTTTTTTTCCTAAACTAAAACCTCAGCATTCAGGTTTTTATTGCAGTGTTGGCATTTTGAAATAAATATGTTGATTTTGTGTTGCAGTTTAGGCCCTCAGGCTCAAAAAGGTTCACCATCACTGCCCTAGTCAGTCACTTTTACCTTTGATAGTAAGGATCAGGATGCAGATTGTGGGGGGAAATCGCTTCCTGCAATCCCAGAAAGCTGTTCCAAGGCAGAACAGAAAATACTGGTCTACATGGACCAGTAATCAGACCTGGTAATATAAAGCGATCTTGCACATTACTTGACCTGAATGCTGCTGAGGCACATCTCCATTTCTTGAAGTATCGCTGAGCTGTCAGTAATTTCAGAGTGGTAGAGATGAAAGGGACAGGGAACATGGTAGCTGTTATGACATTACATGCAAAACTGGCAAACATTTGATAGACCAGGATACTCTTTGAAAGTACTAATTAAAATTTTTATGTTTTCCCCTCCAAGGTTATGGTTTTGTAGATTTTGACAGTCCAGCAGCAGCACAGAAAGCTGTAGCATCTCTTAAAGCAAATGGAGTTCAAGCCCAGATGGCAAAGGTAAGATCAAAATATGAATACTGTTTGATTATTTATTCTTTCCCTCATTTTATTATGATACTTCTCTGTGTTGGAAGGATTCTAAGGGATGGTTCCTTCCTAAGGCTTTTTCTTTTAAATTTTTGATTTATTTGCTGAATCATTTGGTTCTACTGATTTATTTGCCTCTTGGTTTGGTGGTGTTTAAGATGACTGTGGCCTAAATGCAGGGTGCAGAGCTGTGGTGTTCATTTCTTCTATAATAATCTCCCTCTATTACACACACACACACATACACAAGATGCTTCATATATAAGAGTTGTTTCAAGTGCATTTGTATGCTGTGGCCACACACATACACACCTCAAGTTGTTTCAAGTGCATTTGTATGCTGTGGTGAGGAGTTATTTTAAGTTGCAGAAAGTTATTTGAAGACTAATATCTAGACACTAAATATGATCATGACAGTGTTGGAAATGAAAAGAGCTGTGTTTGTTGCATAAATGGTTGGGACATAGGGACAGTTTAAGTACTAGAACTTCAAGAAAGCTAGCACCGTTCTGCTGTTTGATGGGCATTCTGAGAAAAATGTTGTTAGAAGAAAGTGGCTTTTTTCTTTTCTAAATTGATCTGGCAGGGGAAAAACCCAGAATTAAAAACAAGCATTTACAAAACCAAAAAAGTAAGAGGAGGAATGGGGCTCGTAAATTGGCTTCTCTACTATAGGGCATCTGCATTGGTATGGATTAAGGAGTGGATAACATTGGAAAATACAGGGCTCTTGAAATTAGAAGGTTATGATTTGAAATGGGGCTAGCATGCATTCTTATGGTATAACAGGACTGAGGATTTTAAACAATTCAACAAGAGTTAGTAGATCAAGGCATCAAAATGGATTGGTGGGGTGCAATCACAATTATTATCAAGGTTTGTGAAAGATAATCAACAGGGCTTTTACTTAGAAAATACCCCCTTTGACAGAACTCTTCTAGAATCAGAGGGAAAATGTATCGTTATTACATATTTTTTCTGTTAGATTTTGAAACACAAGATGAAGTGGTAAATGCATGTATGAGGGCACAGATTGTAGGACATAATATTGAACTGGATCAATGGGAACGAATTTTGAAAACAAATATAAAATTAGCTAAATCTTTTGTATTTAAAGAGAATATATACAAAATGTTCTACAGATGGTACATGACCCCCACAACACTGATTAAAATAAGCACCCAAATTTCAAATATATGTTGGAAATGTAAATAGAAAGAAGGAACATTTTATCACACGTGGTGGATGTGCAAAGATGCCCGAAGTTACTGAAGTAAAGTGAATCAGATGCTACAAGAGATATTAGATACTTCAGTACTGATGGTACTAGAACTATTCCTATTAAATATCTTGCTGGATATACTAGACTCTGAAAAATCATATTTAGCTATTCATATTATAACAGCAGCAAGAATAGTTTTTGCGAAACACTGGAAGGAACCTAGAACACTGCAAATAGATGAAGTGATAGATAAAATCTTTGAAACTGCAGAAACTGACATACTGTCAGATTGGCTAGATGCAAAAAAGAAAAAAGACCATCGGAAAATTTGGTCGCAATTATATACATGGTTACAAGGTAGATAGAATAGCAGACTGATACATAGTTGTATGGCTGCAGAAGAGACAGAATAAATGATGGATAAAGACTATCAACTACATAATCAATAATTAGAATAACAATATATCTATCTGAATTTGATTTTTCCCTCTTGCTCACTGTTTATATTTCTTTCTGATATGTGGAACTATTACTAGAAAAAGCATGAATAGAATTATTATGAAAAATATTGATTTGTAATGTATCCGTTCAAATCCACCCCCTCCGAGAGTACCACTATCCCAGCCGCCCCTTACCTTACATTACCTTAATAAGGAAAATAACACACACAGACAGACAGATTGATGGCCCTTTAGTTGTCAGCTATTGAATACAGTTTTAGATGCTTTATGATAGAAAGGGGTGCAGATGAATGCACCTGTCGGATGCTGGATGGTGACTGCAGAGGCTGCTGTGGCACACACCTCTGTGGAAGGTGGTGGCAGTGCCAGCAGTGCAGACTGTGACAGCCAAGGTAGGGAGGCAACAGGGGTAGTGGGAAGAAGGAAGGCGGGCAGGCTGTGGGGGTAGAGGAGTCACAGGAGCCTCGTGGCGCAGTGGTTAAACTGCTGTACTGCAGCCAAAGCTGTGCTCATGACCTGGGGTTCAATCCCAGGTAGCGGCTCAAGGTTGACTCAGCCTTCTATCCTTCCAAGGTCGGTAAAATGAGTACCCAGCTCTCAGGGGGGGGCATGTGTAGCCTGCATAATTAACTTGTAAACCACCCAGAGAGTGCTTGAAGAGCTATGGGGCGGTATATAAGCAACATGCTTTGCTTTTGCTTACTTTTTAAAAAGACAGCCTCTGGCTGTCTAACCCCCCCACAAACCGACAAATCAATTAGCGTTTCATCAGTTCATGGGGTTCATGCTTCGTCAACCTTGACGGATCACGAAGCAGGATGACTCACCAAAATGACTATTTGTCCCCATCTCTAATGGCAATTGCTGACTGCTTCTTGATTAAATACCCTCTAAAGTCTAACATTTGTTAATCTAGGGGTAGGCAACTAAGTGGCATCCAGATAGTTTGGACAGTAATTCCCAAATGGTAGTGCCAATTGTCAAGAAGTTTGGAAGTTGAAATACAAAAATTTTGAGGGCACCAGGATGTGTATAGCTGTGTTCGTATTGTATTGCCTTGTTGATCCACCTTTCCTAAAAGTGTATTTCTTGTTTCTTAGGATCATTTTCACCACAAAAGTTTGAAACTTTTTCAAAGACTGTTGATGGAAATGAGCCATAAGCCATGAATTTGCTGAATGGTTATGCCAGCCAGGATCAGAATCTTAATGTAGAAACATGAAATATTGATGCAATTTAGAATTCCTGTAGTTTCTTCACCCGAGAATCTTATGTTACATATTCCCAATATTAATTAAGTCTCAAAAGGTCACTATAAACTAGGCTGCAGCAAGCACTATCTACATTTTAATAAAGGGATCAAAAAACAGAATGAATGAAGATTGAAGTTGGTGGCCCCCCTGAGAAAAGAGGATATGGCTTCAAGTTATTGAGCAGCAGTGATTCTGAGCAAAGCTTGTAGCAGAAGCTATATTCTACAATATTTCAGCACCCATATCTTCACTTTTCTTTACTTGCTTTCCTCACCCAGAATTCCTTTGGTGGAAAAGCCATCATTACAAATGGAGTGGCCGATGTAGAATATAAGGGGTTGAGGTTGGGGAGGTTGTAGCCTAAAGCCAGCTGCTGAGTGGAGGCCCATTGAATTAACTACTGAATGATAAATCAACACTTCTGTAAATCATATGGACTCAGTAGTTTGACTCTAATTGGCTTTTGGCAATTTCTCCCCATTAAAGTTAGCTTGATTAGCCAAAGTAGTTTGAATCATTTTGCCTCAGTCAATAAATGCAGTGGAAAATGTGTTATGTGGCACATACTAGAAAGTTTACGTTTTATGTTGCTGGAACTCAAAATTGCCTGATTAAGTAGTGGATTTGTTTCCTCTCATTCTCAACCACTGCCTCGTCTATCTGTCACTCTCGTTCTCTGTTATGTGTCCATGAGTTGGTGAAACTCTAACCTCTGTAGCCTTTGCCCCTTGAAAATGGGTAAATCCCAAATTAAATTACTTACATATTGTATCTGTTTAATTAATTGTTAGAGGTCAGACACCTTCCTGTTGATCTAAGTTGTCCTTCTTTAATGTTACAATTTGGAAAATAGCCTTTGAAGGATGTTAGGTGCTTTATTTCATTATGCTGTGCAAGACAGAAATTAAAGAACAAATGTTCAGTACTGTCACCATAAATTACAGTTGGTTGGATCCAGACTTTGCCCACTAATAAACCTGATCAAAATGAATGGATCTGAGGTTAGTTGTAACTAATTTCAATCTTTTTTATTTCAGTAGCTTTATTCTTACATATGGCAGTTCTGCATTCAGCATTAGGGATATACATATGAGGGTTTTTTTTTCATAAAATAAATATCATACCTTCCTCCTAAGAAATAACACTGTAGGCAGCTTACATAAAAGCAACAAGAAATCAATAAAATAGTTATGTCAGAGATGAAAGTTAGTTTGATTGGGTAAAGTAGTTTGAAGAGTGTTGCCTCTGGCAATACTAAAAGCACAGGCATTGTCTGGCACCTGGAAAAGAATAACGAGAGCAAGTCACTTTATGCTCTAGATGTCCCTTTTGCTTGATCTCAGATTTCCTTTCTCATTTGGAATGTAGGAAGGGGCTAAAATCAGTGCTGATTTTGAGGCTATCTCCATACAAGTGGTTAATTGCTGTTCTAGTAATTTGCAGGTTTTTAAATGTTTTGAAATTGCTTTTTGATGGTTTTTAATGTTTATATATCTTTAACTGTTTTTAATATTATATTTATATAGTATTTTTAAAACCTTTGTTCTATAATTGTAGTTGTTGTGAGGTAACTTGGGTCCTCTATGGCAGAGGTTGTCAACCCCCAGTCTGAGGCCCGGCGCTGGTCCGTGGCGTAAGCCCATTCGGGCCACCAAGACAGACCTCCTGCCCCCTGCACACACTCACCCCCAAAAAACCCATTTGCCCCCCGCGTGTGCTGCTGTTTGTGGAACTGGGCCGCGGATATGGATTGCCACCCCCACACACATGCATGCGCAGTGGGCTATGTGAAGGAGGATCAGCTGCTGGTGGTGCTGCCGCCACCTCTGCCTCCCCCGTGTCCGCTGCGGTGCTGCTGGTGCGGTGTCAGCTGTGGTGGCGGTGCTAGGAGTGGGCCAGACTAGTGACCAAAGCAGCCACAGCAGCGTAGAGGCCCCGGGTCCAGCAGGGCTGGCGACGAACAGAACCGGCGTAGAAGGAGGCATTGCCAAATAATTATCAGTGCCGCAAAGCCCAAGCTCAGGCTCTCTCCGC